TTTTTTTAATTTTTCTGTTCAGTGGTGGATTATTTTCTAAGAAAATGTAGGGAAGGCGAGAATTAGAGTTTTGACAGGAGCAATTTTGATTGTTTGTGATTTAAAAACCAAAAACCAAAAAAGGAAAAAGGTATTTCATATTTCATTTAGGAGAAAAGGGGCTTTGAATGGTAAAGTAGATCTATTGCAAGTTAATCAAATCTATATTAAATCAACTTTTGTTTTCACCACAATATTCCTTATTCAGAGTTTCCAGTTTACTTATTTAGCTTACCATGTTTTTACATACCCTTATGATTGCCAAAATGAGAACAAATTAATAATTGTAAATGATTTTATGGGTTGTGCTGCATCTCCTTTTGCTACTATATAATCTTGTGACTTGGTTAACTGTTTGCAGTATTGTGTGTAACTACTGAAGTACCCCTTCAGCGACCCCATTGATAAGAAAGTATTCCTACATCCTGCTAGCGCTGACCGATTTTGCTTCCGGATGGTAGATACATGGCTATATGAAGCAAGGTGTTCCAGTTGACAGAGCTAGGTTTTCTATAATTGCTCCCCATACGTTCTTTCCTCTCGCCTTGCAGGTTGGGTAATCTTCGTGTTAAAAGATTGCAGTGTGCTATGGGTTTACATACATTTGTAAAGTTTTTATTTGTTTTGTTGTCCCTGTCTTGATCAGGAATACCTGGACTTAAACGTCACTCTGGAAGAGTTTGGTATTTGCTTGTTGACTTATGATCTTCCTGGTTTTGGTAGAGTGATCCTCATCCCAGTAGAAACCTTGAGTCATCACATTGGATTGTTATTTCTGGCTAGTTCTGTGGGTGTTAATGACAAGTTCTGGGTGTTGGGATACTCGAGTGGAAGCTGCATGCTTGGGCCCCTCAGATACATTCCTGACAGACTTGCAGGTTAAAATATGAACTTGTTATCTGCATTACCTCTTATTGTTGTAACATTTGGATGCGTAAGTTTCATTTTGTTGCTCTCATGTTATTTAGTTATTGGAATTAAGAAAGCTTTTCATACATATCTGTTTCTTGATAGGAAATAACTTTTTTATACCTATAAAAATGATTCATTTTAGTCTTACTGCTAAAATTTTATAATTGGATTTTGAATTTTGTTTCTTTTTGGTGCTGAATGTATTTCGCTTGAAGATAGACTGGAACAAACTGTGCTTCGATACATAACATTTTTGAAGTTAAGAAAAGGAGACTGGAACAGGTTGCCTTGTCTAAGTTCAGCTGCAATTAACTAAATTAGTTTCCAGAAAATAAGAAAAAAGCGACCTAATTTCAGAATGAATTTGTGAAGTACTCTGGATTGCACCCTAATGGATTCTAGTAATGTTATTAGTTTGAAAGGGGAGAGTACTTGATTCGTAGCTTACCTACTTTTCTCTGGGTACTATATTCTTGTCTTGATATTTGAGACTGAGGTGCAGACATGCATTGCTTGCTGCTCTACAGTCAATCTAATAACTGCAGAATCATACAGATGTTAAGTGTCTGTAACCTGCAGAAATCAATTTTTACATACAAAAGTCTTGTGTACTACATAGCTTTACCATTTCCCATGGTTTAGCTATGATTATATGCTCACCGAGACAAATAAAAAACTAATAGTTTACTATAGTCTACAAAAAGCAGTGTCTCGATCCATTCTTAGCCTAACTTGCAGTGGCAGCCATGTTTGCTCCTATGGTTAACCCCTATATTCAATGATGACCAAGGAAGAGCAGCGGTGAACCTGGGAGAAATGGACACAAACGGAAACTGAGGTACTTTCTGGCCGGAGGTTTCCTAATTGCTTGTTTATTTCTACCACCAAACCTCCTATCTGGAAAGCATGATCAGATTGACAATGTCATCACTGTCATTCGAGAAAGGGTGAGTATCTTCTAACATATCCTGTGAATGAAGATATAGTGTTTTCTAGGTTTGGTTAAGTTCTGGAAGAATTTGATCAACCAGAAATACTAAGTTGGCTACTTTTCTTGGTCTTATACTACGAATTCTTAAAAGCGCCTGTAAGGCAGCCTCCTAACTTATATTCTTTATAATTCTCATCTTTCCAGGATAGAGCTATGATAGAGGACCCAATCTATGAAGAATTCTGGCAAAGGGATGTGGAGGAATCAGTTCGACAGGGAAATGCAAAGCCCTTTGTCGAGGAAGCTGTACTGCAGGTGTCTAATTGGGGTTTCAGACTTGCAGATCTCAAACTACAGAAGAAACAGCGAGGGAGAGGTATCCTCAATTGGCTTAAGTCTATGCTTATTGGAGATTTAGAGGAGTATACAGGTTTCCTTGGCCCAATACATATATGGCAGGTCAGTGTATTTTATTTCTTTAGTTCCTCTTTCAGCTTCTACATTTCTACGTACTTTCCATTCTTCAGTTTTAGAGAGTTTAGCTTCCAGGGCCTTAATTTTCCTACAACTTATAGTTGTCTACTTGCTGATCCTCTAGGCTCCATCTCTTCTTTGAAACATATGATGGTTGCTTTTACATCTACCTTCTTTGTCACATCTTGTGGTGATAGTGTCAATCATTTTCTGGAAAAATGAAAAATATGGTGATTGACTAGGGTCATATCAGGGCTCATACTAATAATAATTGTTGAAGCAACCACTGATGAAAATGCTTCTGCTGGAGTACTAGAATTGGACATCCATAGGAGTACTGCTGATTGTTGTTTCTTGCGAACTTAAGACTTATGAACTGACTTTTTGGCCTCGAAATTAAACTAACAGACTGTATACAATATTTTTCGTATTTGGAGTGATTATCGGTTACTCTCAACGAAAGGTTCAACTAATAGATTTTTAATTTTTCCAATGATATGCAGGGGATGGATGATAGGGTGGTTCCTCCATTGATGACTGATTTTGTGCACCGGATTCTACCAGGTGCTGCAGTGCATAAGCTTCCATATGAGGGCCATTTCACTTATTTCTATTTCTGTGATGAATGCCACAGACAGATATTCACTACACTTTTTGGAACCCCTAAAGGTCCACTTAACAATACCATAGAAACCATAGAAGCAGATCAAACTCTTATTGAAGTCGATAGAGAGGAAGAGGAAGAGGAAGAGGAAGAGGTGAACCTTGTTGATTCTACCATAGACTGAAGTTATTACTTTACTTCCGTGTGATAGAAATTATGATGTATATACCACAGGTCTGCTTTACTCCTGGAGCAGAAATATGGGATGATATCTTTGTGTTTTCAGGGTTCATTTTGACATATTTTGGTGGGTGGGTATGCTAACACTTTTGCAGGAGATGTTGTCCAAAGTAGAAATATACAACAAAAGTTTGTTATTTTAGTTCTCAATAGTCCACCATCAAGTTAATGGCTTGGCGTAACTTCATGTTCACATTTTATTACTGTCCAAAAACTATGGAAAAGTTCTAGATGGATGGTGTGTGGAAAGTGCTAGATGGATAATGTTTCAGCATTTAACAAAAAGAACAAAAGATTGAAAAAGTAAAGCTAGAGCGAAGCTCAGCAGCCCGTCCACTAAAAGGGAGTTTTGTTTGTCATATGTTGCCTTCAAAAAAATATCAAAGCTTAAAAAGTAAAATTTTAAGTGAAAGAATCAAAGTGCTAGATTCGGTTGAGCTAGACTTATTTTTAGCAACAAATTGTTCCCATGTGACCTGGACTGACTTGTGTCGCCATAAATTTCAGTAAAATCACTGATACTCTTGAAAAATATTGATTTCATAGTTCATACTACATAAAAATTGTAACCAAAATTGTATGAAATTGTTGCATGAAGGCTCCATTTTCTACATATTCTATGGGATATATTCTGGGTATCTTTCGGTTAATATGCATCCAAATTAATGGTTTTGAAAGATTATGTCATTCTTTATTACTTGATCATAAAGAATTCCAGAAAACAAACAGAAAATCTGTGATATCAAAGAATCATGAGAATCATAAGATGGGCCAGAACAGGATGGACACTACCATTTACCATTTTATTTATGTGGCAATGCCACCAACCAAAGAATGCTTTGACATTAAACAGTTCTGTTTCTTTGCAATTGAGGACCACTTCTTCCATTTACTCCTTCAAGCAAACCGAATTTATGACCAAGATTAGTCCTCCCATGCCAATTTAATCTTCTTTCCATATCGTCACTATGTTTCCTGCCACCAACTTCAATGTCTTTATCAACCGCCCTCGAATCTTGGCGACAAGAACCCTCCTCAGTTGGGAACTTAACAAGCCATGTGAGATCATAAACATTTGCATTGTATAAAACCAAGATGGTTGTCGAAACAAGAAGCTGAATGATCCAGGGACCAGTGGCTATAATTGCACCAGATATTGCAAATATTTTGACGTACAAAACTGTACTCTGAGTATTTGCAGTGGCAAGGCGGAACAACACCATTCCAACCGCAGTTATCCACACAGAGTGCACTATGATTGAGCCGAGGCGGAAGCCGCCGCTGCTGCCGGAATTTTGAGGCTGCATTTTCTTGGAAGGGTTGCAGTAAGAAGAGTGTGGTCGTACAGAAGCTGTAAATGATCAATGTGTTAGCTTGGGATAATGGGGAAAATTTGAGTTCAAAAATCAGTTATTTGTTAAGAGTTTTTTCTTTGGTAAAAGAGTTATTATTGTTTTTTTTCTTTCTAATTTTTGAATTTAATTTTGTATCTTTATTTTTAATTTTTCCTAATTAAGTGTAATTATTCTTGGTTTTGTTAACGATATTTCATTATTTAATCCATACGGTTGTAAAACATTTAATCCAGTCCAATCAATTTTATTATAAAGGAAAGAACAGCCGTCCGTTATATAAACTAATCATATCAACCAAAACATTTAATATTGTTACAGGGTTAGGTTTCAGGCCCAAACTGTTTGAGCCCATCCAGTACAAGACGTGGCGTTCCTCTACCCTCGCTACCAACTAATCCCGTGTACCGCGACTCACCGAAGCCCTCAAAACCTTCCCGTTAACTCGTTCATCCCATTTCCCTCGTAAGCAGCCATGAGAGTGTGTGAGTCATGAACAAACTCTCTCTGTGTTTGAGTAACCGAATGTGAGGTTGTTGAACTCTACGCACCGCCTCGTGTTGTTTGATGCTTTATAAATATAGCCAACGCGCCAGCACCTCATTTGAATGTCGGCATCGCAGAGAATCCTCTGCAATCTCTCACTCTCTCTTCCTCGTTCTTATTTTTCTTCTTCGAAATCCATAGATTTCTTCTTCCTTCGTTCCTCTCGTTCTTATTTAACCCTAGCGCGCTCTCTCCGTTTTACTTCCTCCGTTTCATCTTCTTCTTCTTCAGTAATCGCGCCTTTAGATCAGGTCCGTTCATCATTTTATTGTTTTTCTACGTTTTATTATGTTTCCGATGCTTTTGACATAAGATTTTGAAGCGTTGATATTTTCCTATTCTATGGTCTTTGCTAACTTGGCATTAATCATTATTAAAATTTGATTTTAAAATTTAAATTCATTTAACTCTTATGTTTAGTAAAATACGCTGAGGCTGACGTTGAGAATTTTATTGGTGTTATTCTGTACTTTGATGTTGGAAGAAACTGCAGTATTCATCGGTCCAGTCAGTATCTCTTCCTACCATTTACACCGTCTTCAAAATGTCTCAGTTGGTTAATCATTTCTGAAAATTTGTTAGTTCTTGGCAATGGTAGTACTAAAATTTTCTTCCTATGATGGCATTGGAGTAATATTATCACAAATTAAGAAACAAATTAATGTGCGATGGAAGAGTAAAAGGGATCAAAACTAAGCTAATTAAAAGAAATGACGCGACAATTCAGTTGGTAGAGTTTTCTGTTTGTTTGTTGAGAATGTATGACAGTGGGAAAGTTGGAATCATTTAACAAAAAGGAGTAGTTTTGGCTAAGATAAAACTTTCCCTAAGTATGATACGTTTCCAGCTAGGTAGAATGACCCTTAATTTGATTTTGTAGAATTGTTTTGTTTTGTCTTTATAATTTTATCATAGTGGGAAGATGTTCTGATTTGCACTCAATCTAATAGATTAGGGATGTTGATTTGTATCATTATTTGGTTATTTTTGGTAGCCATCAACTCTTTTCGCCCTTTCTAAACTGTTTCTGATTATAATTAAGAAACTGTAATACCTGGTCTCTCCATAGCCTAATATTGTAGTTTAATTTTTGAATTGATTTAAGACATAGGTCTTTAATATGCAGAGAAGAGGAACATGGAAACAAAAGCCAACAACTAACATAACATCTTCAGCCATGGAGGATGCATCCTCTTCCACTGCAGAAGCCATCAGTAACAGATTAAGTGGATTGAGTATTGCTGAAAACAATGGACAATCTCATGCTTCTGTTCCAGCTGTCGAATTTGGGATTGTGCAAGTGGCAAACCAGGGTCCCATGCAAGGTCAAAAAGCAATGTGGAAAACAAGGTTGTATGGGACGGTGAGTGGAGCCACAGAAACTGGAAATGCATCTGAAGCAGCAACATCCCAAAAAAGCACCATGAGTTTGAGTAAGATATTTAAGGAAAATCTGTTGGAAAATTTTACAGTGGAAGATTCAACTTATTCACTTGCTGAAATTAGAGCCACATTCTATCCTAAATTCGAAAATGAGAAGTCTGATCAAGAGGTACACTTTTTGGCCAGTGACTTTCCACATACTTAATTGTAAATTTCACATTCATCTTTTGAATCATCATGTAACAGTCAATCATTTTGTATATTTTGTGGTAAGAAACAAGCAAAATTTTTTAATATGAAAAATGATCAAGCATTTGTATTAGGTTATCCTGGTTATAAAAGGCCCCTGCCCCCCAGATTCCATACATTTATTTCCCTCATTTGGCCAATGGGTAGCTAAGTATTTGCTACTGACAGGTGGATGTGTGGCTATTAACTATTTGCTTCCATTTTGGATTCAAAATCTATTTTTACCTTGTAAATGTATGTTTACTCTGGCAGTTTAAGTTATTGTTTACTCCAAAATATCCAGGTCAGGGCAAGGATGATAGAAGTGGTATCTAAAGGCCTGGCAACCTTGGAGGCAAGTAATTTTCTCTATTCTGTCTGTCTTGGATGATTGTTCATATATATATATTGCTCATTTTTTATTTAATTGGAGATTCAAACTTTTTTATTTTTATCTTATACATTTGTCCTGTCTAGTTGATTAGGAACCTTTCTGAATCTGAATCTTGATCAGTTGGGTTTCATGGCTATGGTTCATTTAACAGGTTTCGCTTAAGCACTCTGGTTCTCTTTTTATGTATGCGGGTCATAAGGGTGGAGCATATGCCAAGAACAGCTTCGGCAATATGTATGCTTGCTATGCGAAATCTTTTCTTATTTTCTTTTCCCCTTATATTCAATTCTTTTGCCTATGCTTCTTTTTATTGTTTTTTGTTTTGTTAGACCCCCACCTTGTCATAGCATTCAATTTATTAAAATGGTTGCGGCATTAATTGGTCATTCTCTTGGCTTTACATCTTTCATGTTCTCCAGTGATTGCTTGTGATGATTATAAAATTCCAATGGGCATAAGATTTGTGACTACTGCATTACAAAAAGAAGTAATGTTAAACTTTATTCTCCCTTGGAATTTGTGCTTGAAGATTGGTGATAATAGTTTTATCTATTCAACTTCCAAGTTCCTTATTTAAAAAAAAAAAAAAAAAAAAAAAAAAAAAAAAGGATGCACAAGATAATACAGCTAGCTGTCTTGCCTTATTTTTGTTTTTAATTTTTTGCTAGAAATAAAGTTGTTCCAAGAACACTGGACTTAAGTCCCAAAATGTATCACTATGTCTCTCTTTCTCTTATTTCACTTTATTTTTTTGATAACTTTTCCCTGAACATAGTTTTATAAATATAGATACACTGCTGTCGGTGTTTTTGTCCTTGGACGGATGTTTCGTGAGGCGTGGGGTGCTGAAGCTCTCAAAAAGCAAGCTGAGTTCAATGGTTTTCTTGAGGTAACAATTAATATTAAATTCGGATGAATTGGATATTTTACAGAAATTCTCAACATTAATTATAGCAAGCTGCGTTGAACTGCTACTTCACAGGGATTCCTAAAAAGTGCAGAGCACCTTTAGCCCTTAACATGCTTTATATTCTTCTTGATGTAGCTCTTCACTCTGCATCTAATGCTTTGCTCTTTCCCATGGCTCTATATATACTCAGGTGTGGACGTTCACATTTGAGAAAAATGTGGACCAACAGCTAGCTAGCGAATATTTTCTAGCAAATGTTAGCTAGCTGTTGGTTTGTATTTAAGGCCAACATTTTTGCCAGATTATGATTCAATTTTTGAGCCTCTGGATCAACATACTTTAAATGGTTAAGATTCAATGAAACTTGTACAACTAGTGCACGTTAGAAATGACACTAGCTAGATTTAATTTTAACCATTCAAATGCATTGATCGAAAGTTTCACAAATTGTGGCAAAGTATAAAAAATATAGAGCTCTAAACTTTTTCCTAGACATATAAATGTACAGATAATTTATTGTTGCCCCTTTATATGGGTAGTGTTTGATTTTATTTATTTGGGATATGTCCCTGATGATCAGAATTTGTGTGTCTGGCTCCATGTGGGTGTTAAATCTGTATATATTATGTGTAATTCATTTGCTTGCTCTGTGGCATCATTGCTTCCATGTTTGCAGCACATGTATAGTTTGCTACAATTTTGATTATTATAATAAGTTCTATTTGAATTCAAAATAAATCTGTGTTAATATTGATCATTCTTTCAGGAGAATCGTATTTGTATATCAATGGAATTGGTAACTGCTGTTTTAGGAGATCATGGACAGCGTCCTCGAGAAGATTATGGTAGTGTTTCTTTCTCTTTTTTCAACTTAGGAATTTAATGAGAAGTGGTATAGACCTGAATACCTGGAAATTCATTTATTTAAAGGAAAATTGATTTTAATATGTGAAATTTAACCTGAAGGAAATCTTTAGTTTGTTCCAAAAGATGAGTTTTCTTTTAAATTGGTCGTCCTTATTCATTTCTCTTGGAGTTTATTAAAGAAAATATGTCTAGCAGCTAATTGGGAAGTGACATGAGTATTACATTTACATGCCCCCCATCATGGGGGTTTTTGATACTTTTATAGGGGGAGGTTTTAACATCTCAGGGGGTTTGTAATACTTTACAAAAACATCAGGTGTGAATAAAATCAAATGATCACATGAGTGGATCTATGATAGTAACCCACCTGTTGATACTTGAATCCAATATGTTCATAATTTTTCACGATGTTGCTTTACATGGGATTGATATTGACCTAGATAAAATGTATATCCGTTGCCATAACTGTAATTTTTTTAAAAATAAATGCTTCATTTATGAGAAATTTTTTTTTTCTGGGTTATCAGAGTTATGGTATTTTTTGATGAATGCTTGGTAATTTCTTTTTGTCATCTTTCTTGTATCCAGACGATATTCTGCAATTTTCTTCAATCCATTGGTAATCCAACATAACAATTTCTTACTATACTTCATTGGTTTAAACAGCTGTGGTGACAGCAGTCTCAGAATTGGGCAATGGAAAGCCAAAGTTTTACTCGACTCCCGAAATAATTGCATTTTGTCGGAAATGGCGTTTGCCAACAAATCATGTGTGGTTGTTCTCAACTCGGTAAGGATCTGAGATATCCATTATGTGGTTGCTATGAGGAACATTTTAATTAGGAATTTGTATACTCTTAAGTAACTAATTGTTTTTAATAAACTTTCATACCATTAACATTAAATGATTGGATTGTACTGTTTTTTGATAGGAGATAGGGTTGTTTTACTTTGCTCTTGCATCTTTGTAAACTACAATATATATTTTTTTTAATATATGCGTGCTTGACAACGAAAATAATTGCCTAACTTACTTTAGCTCAAGTTTCTTTTTTAATCATCTCTGTTGCAACAATTTTAAAGTTGAAACATCAGCTGCAGTTGCTGTGATGCTTAATAAAAAGTTATAAATCTGGTTATCAGTGATTATTTTCTTGTTAAGAATTGTCTTCTAGATCTTGATTAATGGATGTCTACTCAGATCTTTGATTCATGGATGCCATTACAGAAGTGTGCATCAGCTTCAGTAAATTTTGTGTCATTAGATGTGCTGGGATTATGATGATAATTTGAGATAATTCAAAAATATGTAAATAATAAACTGATACTCCAGAACTGAAGTTTCTACTTTTACAAGTTTCTTTTTATTATTGATTCCTTTGTGGATGTTCTTTCTCTCTATACACACAAAGCTGAGTACATTGTATCAGAATTCAAGTATTGTATATCTTTTATTTTTTAAAAGGAAATTCTTTTTTTGGAATTAGGAGGAGAAAGAAACCTAAAGGAACTCTATAAAGCTTTTCATTTCAGAACAAGCTTTTCTTACAATTTACTAAAATAAGTTGGATTGTGATTGTACATGTAATCTCATTATTGATTTATAAGATATATTCAAGAAGATGCATGGGTATTGTTTTAACTTGAAATATTAACATTTGTGTTTTGAAGACACTGAGAACTCATCATCTGTTATTATGTGTTACTATAATTGCTTACAATTGTTTTTTAAAATGTAATTCTTAACGACACTTCTTCATAGGAAGTAATTGTTACTCTGCTACTGGTATGGCTGATCTTCTCGAGTGGATTATTTCAGCAGAAAATTTTCTGTTTAAGTTGATTTTATCATTAAGTTATTGCTTCTAATTAATTTATTTCTGTTAATGAAGGAAATCGGCGACTTCATTTTTTGCAGCTTATGATGCACTCTGTGAAGAAGGAACAGCAACTTCTGTATGCAGGGCTCTTGACGAAATTGCTGATATATCTGTACCAGGTTAAGTTTAAAGTGCACCATGCTTTAATTAATTTAGAGTAGCTGACATATTGTTTTGTTGTCCCCACCCTGGAAAAAAGAAAAAAGGATAATAAGACCTCTCTTTGTGGTAGTGAACAACATCCAGACGAGGGATGTTTTTTTAAATGGAAAGAAACTGTTTCAAACCAAAAATTGAAATGAAAAGACAAAGGTTATATACTCCACATAGTTCAGAGACTAGAGAAGGCCATCTCCATCTCCATCCCCATCCCCATCCGCATCCTCATCCTCATCCTCATCTCCTATCCATCACCATCTCCTCCTCTGGTGATATCATCCTTAGAGTAGCTGCATCACATGTCACTGACTCCATACTTTAGTTGCTATTTAACATTCTACAATGAGTCTAGTCATCCCAACTGCTCCCTTTTTTACTGGTGTATTCAACATAGCATCAGAATGTCTATTGCGGCTTAGATATTTTTGTGTTCACCTCCCTTCTAGCTTCACATTGTGAAAACTTTTTTGATTCATTTTTGGTAGTCTCCAAACAGACTGTTTCTGTAAAACAAGTTTCAAGAAAATAAAGGAGAAGCCAAACAGTGGCGAAGTAGGCCCCTTCTTTTCATGTGTTTTGCATCATGCAGCCACTCACATGATTGTTTTAATTTTGTCATCATTTTTTGTTGTCTCAGTTCAGTGTTGGTATTATCAGTTGAGAAGTTTTTTTTTACGGTGTCAGAGTGTATGCACAAGTTGACACTGCATTTCTCTTATTGATGACTTTGTTGTTGTGGACTATAAATTAACTTTGTAAGTATATGCAGGTTCTAAAGATCATGTTAAGGTTCAGGGTGAAATTTTAGAGGGTCTAGTGGCTCGTCTCGTAAGCCATGAGAGCTCAAAGCATATTGAGGAGGTTTTGAGAGATTTTCCTCCTCCGCCAATTGAGGGAGGTATGCTCCTTATTTCTTTTGTATTGTCTGTGAATGCTCGGTTCAAATTGTGTGATTCTTATTTGTCCACAGTCTACACTCCAAGAAGGCCTGCCACTTGTTTTTGATTTTCTTTATAGGATTCCAAAAGGAATCTCTGTTTTGGTCCAAAGATTTGACTAGAAACTATTCGATAAGAATAACTGAGAGCAAATATATATTTAATCAGTTAAGGATTTTATTAATTGAAATGCCTTAAGAATTATGTTTGTCTTTAATACAATTCAGTTATTGCCTCATTTGTAGTACTATTCCAATTTATGGAAGATAAGAATGGCTATGGATGGAGGAGCCAGATCCCAATTCTAAACTTAAGGGGGCAAATCCATCCTAGCCCCAATCCTTACTTGTGGGTGGTTTGGGTAATATCACAACTTTGCTCACTGTAATTATGCTGCCCTCTTGTGCACTGAATCTATGCTTTGCAGAATAAATCAGGTCTGTGATAGGATTCAGCAACTCAACAATCCCAACAACGAAATGAAACAGTTAAAAAAGAAAAATGTTAACAGAATATTCAAGAACGGAAGGTTGTATTCGAATGATTCAGACTGTGTATTACACTTTTGGAATTGCAAAAAATAACCTGGATAATAAGTTCACTACGTACTCAATATCAAAGACTCAAAAACACTCAAAACAGATTCAAAGAAAAATAAACACTGCTATGCTTCGAGGGCCAGTTGCCTCCCAAATTTCCTTGTCCTCTCCTCCCCTTTCCGTGATGATCTGCTCTCTTTTTGTAATGCCCAGTATAAAAGAATGTTGTACTGCTCCTCTCCCATATTGCCATCTGTCTAGTATTCCAATAACAGAATGTTGTACTACTGCTCTTCCATATTGCCATTTGTCTTGTGCTGATTGTCCTCTGTCATGTTGCCATCTGTCCTGTACTGTTTTGCCAGCCTAGCTTGTGATCCTCTATTGTGCTTCCCTTGCCTATTGTAGACCTGCATTGCATGTGATCTATCATTACCCTGCCCAAGAAGAGCCACCTTGTCCTCAAGGTGGAAAGAGGGGAATTGAGTATTGAGGGTGTGGAAGTACTCCCAAGTGCTCTCGAATTCTGGCAGTCCCTTCCAGTGGATGAGAACTTCCCATTGCCCATTCACTAGTTTTCGTTTTTTAAGAACTGTTTGGGGTTCCACATTCAAAACTAAGTTTTCGTTGAGGTTGTTTGGAAGGGGCTTGCTGTTGGGAATTGGAAAAATGGCTTTCTTCAATTGAGACACATGGAAAACATCTTGTATGCAAGCTGAGAGAGGAAGATCTAATTGGTAAGCTGTTGCCCCGATTTTGTTTTTTATTACAAACGGACCGTAAAATCGTGGGCTAAGCTTTTCATTGTGGCGCCTTGCTAGAGAGCGTAGCCTGTATGGCTGAAGTTTCAAATATGCTGAGTCCCCCACCTTAAATCGACTTCTCTTCTCCTTTTATATGCATGCATTTTCATGCAATTTTGGGCTTGAACCAGGTTGTTCTCTAAGTCTTGGAGAATGTAGTTGCGGTCCTGGAGTTGGTGGTGGACTTCATCAACTCGGGAGGAATGATCTGTGTATTTTAGTACCGCCAGAGGCTCATGACCATACAATGCTTTAAAGGGACACATACCTACTGATACACTGAATGTGGTGTTGAACTAGGATTCTGCCCAAGGTATCCATTTCGGCCATTGTTGCGGCTGTTCATTGATAAAGCATCTAAGATAAGTTTCTAAGCAACGATTTACCACCTCTGTTTGCTCGTCCGTTTGTGGATGATAGGCAGAACTCATGTGGTGCAAGGTCCCCGATTGGTGAAATAACTCGCCCCAGAAATGATTCATAAAGATTCGGTCTCAATCAGAAACGATCTATCGTGGAAACCCATATAGGTGGGCTATCTCCTTAATAAATACCTCAGGGACTTCCTTAGCGGTGTAGGGATGCTGCAATGTGACGAAATGGCTATATTTTGAGAGACAATCGACCACCACTAGGATGGTGTCTACCCCTCTGGCCTTCGGAAGCCCTGAAATGAAGTCCATAAATATATCCTCCCAAACTTGATTTAGAATGGGTAGTGGTTGCAACAATCCCGCAGGACTTAAGGCCTCGTATTTATTCTGTTCGCAAACAGTGCAAGCTTCCACAAAATTCTTGATATCTTTTCTCATCCCCTCCCAATAAACCACATTGCCAACGCGTTTGTAGGTTGTAAAAAACCCGGAATGCCCCCCTATAGGTGAAGAATGAAATTCATGTAGAAGGTTTTGTATGTGAGGGCCTATTTTAGGGACTACTAACCTGCCCTGATAGAATAAATGATGGGCTGCTAGTTGGAAGGGAGGTCGGCCAGTTGGATTGATCAAAAGTTGTTGAATAATGTGACGAAGTTTCTCATCCTTCTGAATAGCTTCTTCTAAGTCCTTCATACTTGCAAAACAACCCACGGCTATGGCATTATGTTCCGCCTCTTCTTCCCTGCGAGACAGTGCGTCAGCAACCTTATTTTCTACTCCCGATCGATACTGTATGACAAAATTCAATCCCAGCAGCTTGATAACCCATTTCTGTTGACTTTCACTCAACAATTTTTGGTCGGTTAGAAAGTGTAGGCTTCGTTGGTGTGTTCGATAACAAATTGTTGTCCCAAGAGGTAATGACGCCACTTTTGAGTGGCTAAAACCACCACCATGAGTTCCCGTTCATAAATTGACTTTAACTGAGACTTCATTGACAACCCCTTACTTATGTACGCGAGTGGCCGTCCTTCTTGCATCAAAATTGCCTCTAATCCATTACCCGAAGCATTTGTTTCTATCACAAACTTTTTGGAAAAATCAAGCATAGCTAGAACCGGAACGCTAGTTATAATCCTCTTCAACTCTTCGAACACTGTTTGGGTTGCTTCGTTCCATTCGAAAGCATCTTTCTTAAGTAAAGTTGTTATGGGTGTTGCGATCTTACCATAGTCTTGGACAACACGTCGATAGTAGCCTGTTAAACCGAGAAACCCGCGGAGTGCTCTCACATTCTTTGGTACCGGCCACTTGATGATGCTCTCTATCTTGGATGGATCGACGGCTATGCCTTCGGTTGAGATGACATGCCCCAAATACTTTATCTGTTGCTGCCCGAACAAACATTTTTTTCTGTTCACTATCAACTGATGTTCTAGCAGAATCTGAAGGACAGTTGCCAAATGTCCCGAGTGCTCGTTCATCCCCTTGTTATAGATGAGTATGTTGTCGAAGAAAACAAGTATAAACCTACGCAAGTGCGGCCTGAAAATTTCATTCATTAACGACTGGAAAGTGGAAGGGGCGTTTGTTAATCCGAAGGGCATAACCAAAAAATCATAATGTCCTTCGTGAGTCCGAAATGCCGTCTTGTGGGTGTCTTCAGGAAGGACTCGTATCTGGTGATAACCTAACTTCAATTCAAGTTTAGAAAATACCGACACTCCTCCTAGTTGGCTAGTTCATCAAACAATTCATCAATTGCCGGAATTGGAAACTTATCTGGTACTGTAATTTTATTCACGGCCCTGTAGTCAACACAAAATCTCCATCCACCATCTTTCTTCTTCACTAGTAGCACCGGACTTGAAAACGGACTCACACTGGGTTTGATGATCCCGGAAGCCATCATCTCTTTGACAATGCGCTTTATCTCATTCTTTTGATAGTATGGGTATTTATACGGTCGAAGATTTGGGGGTTGGGTTCTTGGCACTAATGGAATTGAATGGTCTTAAGTTCTAATGGGTGGTAATCCGGCCAAGGGTTCGAACACCTGTCCAAACTTATCCAGCACCTCTACCAACTTTTCATCAATTCTTTCTTCGTTTCCCGTTTGTCTCTGAGTCTCCCCAAACTCGATTAACACTCCCTGTCCTTCCCTCTGTACAGTCTTAATCATGACCTTTAGAGACACTAGTGTTTTGCTTAAGGAAGGATCCCCTCGTAGTTGTACCATTCGCTCTCCTGATCTGAACTTCATAGTCTGTTTCTTCCAATTAATTACTGTCTCCCCTAAAGCCTCCAACCACGCCATCCCGAGTACTACATCAGCGCTCCCTATTTCTAACGGAAAAAATTCTTGAACCACAACCATTCCTTGTAAATCCAGTGGAATCGCTTTACATTCCCCTTGACATGTCACCCGATAACCATCTCTCACTCTTGACTCTGAAGGACGGGGTCGTAACCACTAGTAATTCCAACCTACCCATTGCCTCTAAACCAATGAAATTTTGGGAAGCCCCACTATCAATCAATACAATTAATTCCTTATCGTGGACACTCCCTTTAAGCTTCATCGTTTTTGGCCCTTGTATTCCCACCACCGAGCTGATGGATAGCTCCACATGGCTTTGATTTTGTTCAACTGCAACTTCCTCCTTTTCCTCTTCTTCCTACAGCTCTGGATCCTCATCTTCTCCTTCAAGCAAAACAATCTGAAACTGTTTCTCACTACACCTATGCCCAGTTGAAAATTTTGCATCACATCTATAACATAATCCCTTTTCTCTCTTTCTCTAGATCTTGGAATTTTTTAACCTCCGGAAGGGAAAATCTTGCTGAAAGTTGGAAGATTTGAAGGTGTCTGCTGGAGTTGACGCGTAACTGGAGTTGTTCTCGGTGGAAGCACGCTTGAAATTTGTGTTTTGGGGCTGAATTTTCGTGTTGAATGTTGAATGTGTTTGGATGGTGCTGGGTTGGGTTATGTGGGTTTGGGTTATGTGTGTTTGGGCTTTATTTTGCTCTTCCATTCTAATTGGGTTTAAGTTGGAACGTGGGCCATTATTCCCCCAAACTTCTCTTGTCGGCCCAACCCTCTTCTGGCCTCTTCCAATATTGAATTTCTTTCTTCCACTCTTTGGGCCAGAATTGCAATTTGAGTTAAAGAATTTGGCTGACCCAAAATGTCTGGTTGTTGGAGCTTCACTTTAGCACGGATCTCGGGTCGTAACCCGTTCAAAAATGCTGCAAAAAGCACATCCTCCCTTTCTGCCACTGTCATTGCCGCAATTTCTTCAAACTGTAGGCGGTAGTCCAGCACAGTTCCCGTCTGCCTCGTCGACATAAGAAGTTCCAGCGGGCTGATTTCTTGTGCGCCGCTGAATCTTTGCAGAAAAGCTACCTTGAACGCAGCCCACGTCAGTCCCGATGTCCTGGATTCGTTCCATTGATACCAATGGAGAGTCTCCCCTTCCATGCACAGCGTCGTGGAGAGGACCTTGCTCTCGTCGGCAACTTGGTTAAGGGCGAAATACCTTTCCACGCGAAAAATCCAGTCATACGGATCTTCGCCGGAAAAAAGTGGAAGCTCTAATTTTTTGCTTCCCCACTCTCATCGGTTTCCCCCTTCGTGGTGGTGATAGCCTCCTTGGTAAGGAGGAGGTGACGGTGTTTCATTTTCTCTACGGTGGTCTTCATCACAGTGGTTCCCCGTGCTTGAGTTGTTGTCTTCTTCATGCCCCGCCATCCTCCGGTGAGCCTCTTCCTCAGTTTTCCGTCGTCTTTCTTCTTCTGCTCTATGGTGAGCTTCTTCCTGTTCGTCCTTATGCCTTATCCAGTTTTGCACATCCATCATTATCTCCCTCATGGACGCCACTGTTTCTGTCAACTTGGAAATGTCTCTCTTCACCCCAGTAACTTCCTTCTCAACAATGTCCATTCTATTTTCCATTCGAGTACTGACCATACCCCAGCAAGCACCCTCGCTCTGATACCAATTGATAGGATTCAACAACTCAACAATCCCAACAACGAAATGAAATAGTTAAAAGAGAAAAATGTTAACAGAATATTCAAGAACAGAAGGTTGTATTCAAATGATTCAGACTATGTATTACACTTTTGGAATTGCAAAAAATAACCGGGATAATAAGTTCACTATGTACTCAATATCAAAGACTCAAAAACACTCAAAACAGATTCAAAGAAAAATAAACACTGCTGTGCTTTGAGGGCCAGTTGCCTCCCAAATTTCCTTGTCCTCTCCTCCCCTTTCCGTGACGATCTGCTCACTTTTTGTAATGCCTAGTATAACAGAATGTTGTACTGCTCCTCTCCCGTATTGCCATCTGTCTAGTATTCCAATAACAGAATGTTGTACTGCTCCTCTCCCATATTGCCATTTGTCTTGTGCTGATTGTTCTCTGTCATGTTGCCATCTGTCCTGTACTGTTTTGCCAGCCCAGCTTGTGATCCTCTACTATGCTTCCCTTGCCTATTGTAGACCTGCATTGCATGTGATCTATCAGTCTGTCTACCTGTTAATATCATGGTACTTGAGTCATATTCCTGCTCTATTTTGTTTTTGGGTGTTCTGGTTATTTATGTAGACATCGTTTTGGGAATCAGAGAGGATTAATAAATCGTTTCTGACAAACCACTGATATATATTATAAGCATAGGCTCGTACAACATTTGGGTCCAGGCTTGTCTTCACTTAGTGGAATGAAGCTCCTTATATTCAGCTCTGTGTCTCTCTCTGATCTTAGTATACTTTGTGGAAATATTGTTTGTTGCTTGCTTTTCACAATTGAACTAGATTCTTTTAACAACACCTAATTTTGCTTTGTATTTCAGCTGATCTTGATTTGGGACCAAGCCTGAGGGAAATTTGTGCTGCAAATAGGTCAGATGAAAAACAGGTAATATGAAGCTCCTTTCAACACACACACACAAAAAAAAGAGATTTGTAATTGTATGTGCACATTTTATTGCATAATAAGTTTTCTAAGATGCTTCAATAATCTATTAAAATTTTCTTTGAAAATACTGTTGCAGCAAATAAAAGCGCTTCTTCAGAGTGTTGGCTCATCATTCTGTCCTGACTATTTAGACTGGTTTGGAATTGAAACTGGTGATACTCATTCAAAAAATGCTGACAGATCTGTTCTTACAAAATTTTTGCAAGCTCATCCTGCTGATTTTTCAACTGCCAAGTTGCAGGTCAGGCTTTGTCAACTATTTCCTATAATGTAACTCTTCTTTGTACGTATTTGAATCATTAGAGAAATTTTCAAGTTAATCAAAGTTATTAGCAGAAGTTACTTTGGTTGCCTTTTGTTTCTTGTTCTTTTGGCCTTCTTTTGTTAAAGAGTATTACTAATACAAAATCATCTTACAAAGATTTGTATATAAAGTAATGTCTCAAAAAATGAGTGAAAGAATCAATATAAAAAGCTAAACTCATTATATTCACTCTTCCATTCATTTTCTGCCACATCACTTTGTATGTATATCTTTGTAAGAGGTCATTGCATGTGTAATATTATTGTTTGTTAAATCGTTATTTCATTTTTTTTAAGGATAAATTTTTTTTTTATGTATATTTTTTGAATTTTTTTAAACAGGAAATGATTCTTTTGATGCGAGAGAGGCGTTTCCCAGCTGCCTTTAAATGTTATCATAACTTCCACAAGATTGACTCTGTTTCAAAGGACAAGCTTTTCTATAAAATGGTCATTCATGTTCACAGTGACTCAACTTTTCGCCGATACCAAAAAGAGATGAGGTCATCATCTTGATTTTGTTTTATTTATAGAGCTGTGTAGGTAATTCCTTTTGTCTTGTGATTAATGTCCAATTTCATTCCCTAATTAAGAAAAGTTGATTCTGTCAGGCACAAGCCAGGATTGTGGCCGTTATATCGAGGTAAAATTGTTTAAAACTTATCTGGAGCTATCTGATCAGTTTTATTTAGAACTTCCAACCTAGTAATTGATATGAATTCTGTTTTTTGTTTGATGCATTATGACTTGAATCTAGGGGTTGCCTCTTATGGAATCTCTGGTTTTGTTAGTTTCCTTTTTTATTTTGCAATAACTTTACCGGTTGAATTAATGTTGATTAGTGAAAGCAACCTAGAAATACAGATTAGCAATGGAGATATGCAAATGTGTTCAAAGAATAAGAGATTTTGAAGCTTGCCTGAATTTTAAAAGCAAGTGGCATGTAGAAGTGTCATAAAAACGGGAGCATCAGTGGCTCAAATAATAATAGTGAATAGAAATGAAATTATCTTGGATGATAATCATTTTAGATAGTACCTATGGACCCTTTGAGAGAGTTTCTTGAGGCAATCTGCTTGAGTCATGCCATAGTTATAAGTGATGTAGGATAAGGTGAGAGGACAAAAAAAGAGAGGGAAAGACGTAAAGAAAGAGAGGAAAGGGAAGAAAATGGACATAATCAGAAAGAAAGCAGAAAAATTTGAGAAAGAATCTCAATTTTCATTGTATCTATACTCAACTAAAATCAGACTTGAAACGGTAACATGTGGCCCTAATTATAGTGAACAAATCCTAGTTTAAAGAGGAAATCTAGTTCTGCTCAAAATAAGTAATTGAATCCTTTTCCAATATAAAACCTAATTTTGGAAACCTAAATTCAACCCTAGAGAATAAGAAATTGAACTCGAACAATCAATTTTGCTAAATCCATCAAATAAAAGATATCCTAAAATAAATAATAAATCATGGATTTTTGATTCTGCATCAATAAGCCTATGAGTGGTTGAACGTGATGTGAATGCTTGCTAAGCTGGAAAAATGGAGTTACTAGAACTTTATCATGGATTTAAAGATGTTATAGGTTTATGCCTGATCTGATCTAGTGAAAGAAGAGAAAATTGTGAAGTATAGATGCTTAAAAAAATGAACACAATTTCCTTGCAACTCAGTGGCTATCCTTTCCTTAACTCAATTCTTTTGGAGATCCGTACAAAGGGGTAATCAGATCTTGAAGAAAGATATGATCCACAAATCAAGAATGTTACACATAGTAGGATAACTATATTCCTTGAGAACATGCAATGGTATTACTTTTAGAATTGGGGGATGTTGTACATACTTTAGTGCTGCCATTTCATAATGCACTATTACTGCTTTATTTATTTATTTTGACAAGAAACAGAAGAAATTTTTTATTAATCAAATAAAATAATTCATAGTTGAAATGAAACAGTCTAGAGAGGGCAAATGAAAAGGAAAAACAAGTCACTACAGTTTTTTTATCCTTCTGAATGGAAAACCAAACCTCCCGAGATTATTTGGTAAGATATACCCACGAAAGAGCAAGAACATGAGTTCTATCCCAAAGCAAATTTATGTCCTCCTCCCTTGAATCTTAAAAAAATTTTTTTCTTCCATTCATACCAAATAACCCATTCAGTAGCCAGAATGGAATATTTCCATATAACCAAAGCTTTCTGTCCATCTGTAGACTATCTGCTGATACTTATTATTTTTACCCAGGTTTTTTTGTTGATATTAATTTATTCAAGGCAAACAAAGAAAAAGCTGCTGAAATTGCAAAAAACAACAGTATGGGAGGAATTTCTAGTGGCAATGGCGGCCTACCGGGAAAAGGTGATTTGGCTGATGATGATGCAAACTTAATGATTAAACTGAAGTTCCTCACTTACAAGGTAAGTGTAATTTAACAAATCTGATGCAAACCAATTTCATGCAAAGTCATGTCCAGAATAAGTATGCAGTGGATGATTGTAGAGCTTTACTACTATTGTTGTTTCCTTTCCTACTAATCTGTCCTTTTTGGATGAAAGTTACTCAACATGGTATTATTCTAAAAATCTCTAACTATTAATCAAACATAACCGAGAGCCAAAGGTAAAATTGGCCATGATATCATGGATGTGGATGTTCTTCCTATTTGATGGAGTCGTATTCTTCTATGACAGATTAAGCATGATATAATTTGTTATACTGATGTTTAACTTCAAACACATTCATCTCTCTATTCATTTTTGCCTATTATGTTGTCCTTGTATTTTTCTTCCACACCCCTGCAGAATTTACAGATTATGTCTTTCAGTTATAACTTTTCGGTGCTGACATATTTCCTTTGTCTTAACTTGGGATCTTGTCTGTAAGACATTATATATTGATTGCACCATATAAGTTATTTTGTCATGTAGTATAGGTTTCTGTTTCTACTGTTTCTATATTTTAATTTTCTTTGCAAGCCATAGAATTTAAATTCCGATCATGCTTTGCTATTGTTGTCCACAGATTAGAACATTTCTCATTCGTAACGGCTTGTCAACTCTTTTCAAGGATGGTCCGGCTGCTTACAAAGCCTACTACTTGAGGTAAGGTTCTATTGTCAAGAGTCAGGTTTGCAGTCTTTCTACACATCTGTACTTTTACCTAATTTTTTATTATTTAATAGTTAATTTTTATATAGATAAAAAAATATTTATATAGATATTATTTACAGTATTTGACATATATCATAGATAATTATTAATTGACAATATAATGAAATTTAAATATATTATATAAAGGGTTTAGGGAAATAGAAATTTATATGAAAATCATGAATGGAATGAGTATTCCAAACTTTTGGGCTAGGAATCCCTTTCCATATTTTCATAACTATTCCTTTGTCCAATCTTTGAAGCAAAGAAAGGAATGAGGAGGGAATGAGGGTTCCCATTTTAAAGCAAACATGCCAATAATTTTAGTTATAAAACATGTCAAGAAAAATAAATGATGTTGAGCAAAAAAACGTGACACTTAAAATAGCGTAGTCATGATTATAACCTTCATGAAATTGCTCTTACAATTTTACAAGAGCCTAATGGTACTGTTAACGATTTTAGTGGTCATGCTGTCATGCTTTTGGAATTTCAGGCAAATGAAAATATGGGGCACTTCTCCAGGAAAGCAAAGACAACTCAGCAAGATGCTAGATGAATGGTATTGTTGAAATAATGTTTTTCAATTTCTTACTTTCTTAGATCCTTTTTAGGTTTTAGTTTGCAGTCGGTGAAGCGGATTTTTTTTTTTTTTTTGTTTTTTTTAAATTGTTGCATGTAGGGCTGTGTACATACGGAGAAAGCATGGAAACAGACAACTATCATCATCAGTATATCTTTCTGAAGCTGAGCCTTTCCTCGAGCAGTATGGTAGACGAAGTCCTGAGAATCAGGCTCTGATAGGGTCTGCTGGAAACTTAGTGAGTGCTGAAGAATTCCTGGCCATTGTTGAACGAGGTAGGGATGAAGAAGGTGATCTTGAGACTGAGCGGCAGGTACCACCAAGCGCCAGACCCTCAGTCAAGGATGCAGTTCAGAAAGATGAGGGTTTAATAGTTTTCTTTCCAGGTAGAGATTGTTGTGAATAGTTAGTTTTAAGCTGCCTCAATAAATGTGTTCCTCCAGTTAGAATCAATGGTGCACAAGATACACTGAGAAGGAAATAGACACATATTAGGTGTCCAGCTTTGAATAACCTCACCTGTGTTAGTTCCACCATGTGCCAAAGCCTAAAGAAAAAATTGATTCCAAACTGTTCTAGGAGCCTTACAGGCTTTTTTGATGCATAGGTTCAGGTAAGTTTGGAAAAAGAAAGATTAAAGTGTTTTCAAGCACATCTACCATAATTTTTCTACACACCTTCCATTAAATTTATCTTTTTGTTGGAATGTTGTATTCTACCATTATTTTCTACACATTATGGAACTTCAAGTTAGATCTTGATATTTTTTTTGAACTGACATTTTCAGGAATACCCGGTTGTGCTAAGTCTGCTCTTTGCAAGGAATTACTGAATGCCCCAGGAGGACTTGGAGATGATAGGCCAGTCCATAGTTTGATGGGTGACCTAGTAAAAGGTATGGCAAATTGTCCAGAAAACTTTGTAACAATTTTTCTTTCGGTGGGGGTTTAATTGATCAGAATCTTCAAATTAGATTTCTACTTGTACAAGTATCATTTGTCACATCACTGCAGATTTACTACAATTATCGTGTTTTTAGACTGACTGGAACTTATTTGTTAGGGTTTATTATTCGCTATTATATTTGCTAACTTATTCATTCATACAAATAATAGGAAAATACTGGGCTAAAGTTGCTGATGAACGGAGGAAAAAACCATATTCTATTTTGCTTGCTGACAAGAATGCCCCAAATGAAGAAGTCTGGAGACAGGTAATATTTTTTTTTTTTGGAGTAGCAAAAGTTTTGACAATATGGACAAAGAATGCCCCACAGTGTAGGTAAGTGACAAGTAGACATTTTTGTGAAGGGAAAAAAAGAAAAAGAAAAAGAAAAGGAAATGGACTTAATTTAAAAAAAAAAAAAAAAAAAGAACTAGCAATAGTTTAGCTTGATGAGTAAATCAAAAGGGATTGTATTAAAGGTGGTTCCCTTAATAGTTTTTGCATGTATCTTACATTGGTGTCATATCATTTGAAAGAATAAAATAGGGAAAGACTGGGATGGCGGTTCAAGAAGATTTGGCCATCAGTTCAATCACTTTGAAACTGATCATCTCAAATTAAACAATTGTTCTTCAATACCTACCCAAAATTAGGAGTATGTAATCAATTTGTTGGGGAAAAAAAAAAAAAAAAAAAAAAACCATCAAATAGGAAATAAGTTAATATAAAATATTATGAAAATAGCTTCTTGACATTATTTGCCTATTGACTAGCTAGTGTAAAATTCTTCTCTTAATGAGCATGGATATTTCTGATGGGATCCTTTTGATTTTGGAATGAATCAAAATATGGCTTCTGATGGTTCTTTTCTGTTAGTGCAGATCGAAAGCATGTGCCGCAGCACTAGAGCTTCTGCAGTTCCTGTTGTACCTGATTCTAAAGGTTATCTAGCTTGCTTTATTTCTTCTGTGTTGAGGATATTTCTGTCTCTCTAAAACCTAAAGATTTTCATATGGAAAGTCAATTGTTAGAGATTCAGTATAAATATTCGTCATGCTATAGAGGATCAGCAAATCACATTCTCTTTATGTTAGTTGACTAGATTTTCGTTGGAAGTCTAGGTCAATTTCTTTTAAGTAATCTCCCTTTTCCTACTTTTACAGTCATTTTCTGTTTCATGAGAAGTTCTAATATTGGAACTTTGTAATTACTTTAAATGCAACATGACCATTTCGTAGAGTTGTGAGGTTTAGCCTTAGAGTTCTCTCTGGTACTAATTTGCAACCAAGACCTCCAAATATGGGAAGGAAGGGCTTGAGTGGGATGCTCAACTGTGTTGCTTTCTTGTTTAACGAGTATCTTTATCTGATTAAACATACTTCCAGAGACCTGATGGTTATTCAATATATCAAAATGGATTAGATATATGCTAGCATGCCAGCTAATTGTGTTAGCATGTTATTTATATGCTCTATCGCACCATAGAGAAACACTATGCAGGTATTGGCTGCTACATGTTATAAAACGGGCCACTGCGTGTCCACTGTAGCTTGTTTCTTATCAAGAGAATGAGGCAAATAAATCTTTCTTTGATTTTTACCTTTCCTTTTCTCAAAACATCAAAGTGCTTTAATGATGCATAACAGTGTTTAAGCTGCTCTCTAGATGGTTTATGAAAATAGTTTAGCTTGAAGTGGCAGTCTTGGTTTTTGATTTTTCATGTCAATACATATATTTGTTTCCCATTGTATGATTTTCATTGTGCATTGACTGTACAGGAACGGATACAAATCCCTTTTCTCTCGATGCATTAGCTGTTTTCATGTTTCGTGTGCTTCAAAGAGTTAATCATCCGGTATGTATTCATCTTTGTCTTTCTAATTTGTAAGGTTTCCTAACGCTATATATATACAAGTAATACAATTTTTGAGTCTTTCGATTATTGCATTTGAGTGATTGAGTTTAATTTAACTTGTGTTATATCTAAGAATTACTAATTGTTCAAAGTAAATTGAATCTTAACTGTTTGTGGAGCATTTATCTTATAATTTGTGTCATTGAACTTATATATAGATATATATGAGTTGGATTTTTATTCTTGACATAAAAAATTTGACACAAAATTTCTGTCCTTCAATTCCATCTAATCCAATGGTTGAGAACTAAAGCCAAAAATTGAGATTTGATCGTTAATTAAACTACACTGTACACTTTTTGATCAAGGGAGATTGATGGTTGGTAATTTATGTCAAACTCTTTAAGACAAAATTTTAAGTTAAAAACATTTTGGCCATATGTTTGGTTACCACTTGATTTAAATGCTTAAGCTAATGGGTAAGTTTCCAGTAATAATATTCATCCTTTAACAATATATGTTGCAATCCTCTTACTTTTTTTTTATTGCTACATGAATTTAGGGGAATCTTGACAAGAATTCTCCAAATGCTGGCTATGTGCTGCTAATGTTTTATCACCTTTATGATGGCAAGGTATAATGTTATATCCTTCAACTGGTATGCCATAGATCAACCTATATTGAAAGCATTTTCTTTAATCTATCCTATAATTTTTCAGAGCCGTGAAGAGTTTGAGAGGGAATTAGTTGAACGTTTTGGTTCTCTTATCAAAATGCCATTACTTAAAGATGACAGGTAAGGATGTTTCCCATTAAAGATACTTGCAGAAGCATAAAAGTTTTGCCCTGTTTATTGTTGTTTTGAGGTGATACTGGCCTTTGATTTAACGACTATTTTTTTCTCCTTATACATCATATTCTTGATTGTATATTTGTAATAGCATATAATGTTACAGTATCACTTTTATTAACACCTTTTTTCTTACTTCCTCTTGAATTTTGGTCGTTAAGTTACTTGACTTCCTTTTTGTTTTTCTTGTCTTCCCCTTGATCCATTTGCATGTTTTTTGCTTCCTTATTTTTCTGTATATAATAGAATTATGACCTCTTGTTAGGGATTATTAATGGATGTCATGTTATCGTTTATTGTTATGGATTGATGTAATTGATGTTATGTGATTGTTAATATTCTGGTTTGTCATGCAGTTCAGTGTAGTAATTTATGTGCTTTAATATGCAGGAGTCCTCTGCCTGATGGTGTGAAGTCTGTTTTGGAGGAGGGTATAAATCTGTACAAGCTTCACACTAACAGACATGGAAGGTTGGTGACAAATCTTTACATTTCTGTATATGATGAGTAATACTATTGATTCTTTTCCACATCATAACATTGCATACTGCCACTTCTTGTATAACATGTAATCATCTCTTAACTAATCTGTACAAGCTTCAAATTAACAGAATACAGGCTCTATCATTTGCCAGTGATAAAGATCATTTATGGCTTGAGTATAGCAATTGGCTTACTTTCAAATTTTGATATTTGAGAGATTAGATTTGAAATTTCTTGGTGTTTGTAAATTCCAATTTCATAACAATTTATTAATGCTTTTAATAACTTCTTGTGACTCCTTGAGCTTTGACCAGATTATGTAGAAGCATGAACACTGTCTCTGTTAGTTGCTTTCTAGAATTTTTTCGAGTAAAATGAAAAGTATTTCTCATATTGTTGTTGGTATTACCATCAATTGATCATGATCGTTATTATTGATATTCCCCTTTCTTTCCTGGTATCTATTAGCCTTGTATTTCTGTTTTTATTCTGCTGTTAAAGTACCACTGTTACCATTACTGCTTCTCTGGCCTCTGGGTGTGTTTTACATATCTGCTTTTCATTCCATATTTAGATTGGAGTCCACCAAAGGATCTTATGCAAAGGAATGGGCTAAATGGGAGAAACAGTTGCGAGACACTTTAGACAGCAATGCTGACTATATTGGCTCTGTTCAGGTCAACATCTCTTATTTTTATTCTTTAACATACATTATGATGCCTCAAGTCATATAAGTTGGGTCAAATAGTGATCTTTTTTCTTCACACATTGTTTGTTCTCAGGTTCCGTTTGAGTCTGCAGTTAAGCAAGTGTTGGAACAACTAAGGCTTGTTGCAAAGGGTGAGCACGAAACACCGAGTGCTGAGAAGAGGAAGTCTGGAGCCATTGTTTTTGCTGCTGTTTCTTTACCTGTTACAGAGATCCAAAGCCTCCTTAAAAATGTAAGTGGACGATTCTTCCCAGCTATAAAACATTGGGTTTTTATCTAACTCAAGTCTAAACATATGAGATTTTCCCTAAAGTCTGCCATTGGGCCGATATGCTTTAGCTGAATTGTTCATCTGCTGTAATGTCTTTGAAGTTCATGATTTCAAGGGTAGTTCAATACAATTCTACTTTGCAAGGTTGAGTTATAATCATCGTCAATGTAATCAATACTATGAGGCGTCTAGAAATAATGACATTGGATAAAGAAATCAATCTGCATCTCTTCTTTTTTCTTAGGGATAATAAATATGGGCAAGCCTATTTATCTATATTAACTGCAGGGCTATTTTTCTAGAGGAACTAATCTTTTCCCATGGACTTTCTTTTTAATTTAAAAAAGGGTTGAAATGGGAGTAATTTTGTTTATCATCTACTAGTAGTGTACATCATGAACATCTCATTATTCACTTTTGCCCCATCCATTGACCATCTCTCCTTTTACCTCTCATTTGAGCAGTTGTCTGGGAAGGATCCAAACATTGAGCTCTTTTTCAAGGACAAAGACATGGAGCATTGCCTGAAGAAGGCACATGTTACTCTGGCTCACAAGAGGAGCCACGGTGTTCCAGCTGTTGCCAGTTATGGTCCCTTCCTCCATCAAAAGGTACCTGTTGAATTGACGGCATTGCTCTTCACCGATAAAATGGCTGCATTGGAAGCTCAACTTGGTTCTGTTGATGGAGAAAAGATTGTTTCCAGAAACGAGTGGCCCCATGTTACCATATGGACTGGAGAGGGAGTTCCACCGAAGGAGGCTAACACGTTGCCACAATTGCATTCAGAAGGGAAAGCAACCCTCATTGAAATCAACCCCCCGGCTACCATATCAGGCACAATGGAATTTTATTAACTTCTTCCATCTTTTTCTTCTTTCCTTTTATCATGTGGCCACTCATGAAATGGATTGGTCTAAATTTTATTTTATGAATTTCCATGTCATGAGATTCTTTGGCTACTTGGTAGTGAAAATGCTGAAGGTGAGGGTAGATTAGATACTTAAAATAATAATAATAATAAATTAAAAAAAAAAAAAAACCAAAGAATGAGTCTCTTTGGTGACATACGGTAGTACGGTACGATGAAATTTGGTGAGGTTGTACAGTGGTGATTATAATAGAATTTATGTACTATAGAGTTTTTCTGTGGGAATTTACTATGCTTTCCATGGAAACTACGGTGTATATACATTGGCCTCCGGTAAAAGCAATTGTATTTAATTTGATTTGGTTCGAAATAAGTAACTCTGTTTGTATTACCTGAACAAGTTAAAAAGTTTTTTCTGCAACTTGAAGAGGTATTTTCTTAGATGTGCTATGTAGTTCATATACTTTCAGTTTGGATATAAAGAGCAATGTTTTAATAACCAACTCGAGGTAAAACCTGATAAAGTTTTCGGGTCTCGGGTTGACTGGTTTAACCTGACAAAGTTCGTGGAGCTTTGCGAGTACATACTTTGCTTCTTTTAGGGTGATGCATTTGAGGTATGGTCCTAAGAATGATATTCTGAGTAGGCGGCCCTCATGAACGGTGAACCGTGCTGCTTTAGCTCTGAGCCATCGCACTTCGTTTTTATCCTTGGGGAGTTCATCGTTCTCTAAGTAGCACAGGATGGGTGTCATTCATGAGTCGTCCGAGGCGATTGGAGCAACTTTGGTTGGGTTCAGAGTAATCGCTGATGTTCGTAAATGTACTAGTGGGATCGTCATTGGCTATTCAGTCTTAAGCGCCTAGCCAATGCTGGCGAGGGCGTCTGCATGGGAGTTTTCGGTCCTCAGGATCTGGCTGATCGTACATTCCTCGAAAGATGACTGGAGTCATTAGGCTATGGTTAGGTACAAGTTCATCTTGGTGTCTCGTGCCTGATAGGAGCCCTAGAGTTGGTTCACCACTAGTTGCAAATCCGATTTCAATTGTATCTTTTTAATTCCCATTCTTTTGGCCAATGAGAGTCCGACGATCAGCGCCTCGTACTCGGCTTCGTTGTTGGTTTTTTTGAAGTCACACCGAATGGTTTAGTGCAGAATGTCTCCCTCTGGAGAGGTTAGTACCAGGCCCAAACCGCTGTTGTTGGCATTACTTGAACCGTCCACTGTCAGTGTCCATTTTGAAGGCGGTGTGGTCAGTCAAGCATACGAGTTCTTTTTCCGCTTGAAGGGAGGTGTTTGGTGCGAAGTCGGCAATGAAGTTAGCTAGCGTTTGAGACTTAATGGCGGTGCGGGTTTGGAAGGTGATGTCAAACTCGCTTAATTCCACTGCCCATTGAATGAGCCGACCCGATAGATCTGGCTTCTGCAATATCCTTTTCAATGGGTAGGATGTTAGGACCGTGATGGGGTGGCACTAAAAATACAGTCGCAGCTTCCGGGCGGCCGTGATTAGAGCGAGGGCCAACTTCTCGAGTTGGTTGTATCAACTTTCGGCGTTAAGAAGAGATTTGCTAGTGTAGTAGACTGGGAGTTGTCTTTCTTCTTCCTCCCAGATCAGGACGGCCGAGGTAGATGACTTTGATACTGCCAGGTAGAAAAGAGACATTCACCCGTCTTTGGTTTGGAGAGTAGTAAGGGCGACGTCAGGTACCACTTTAGCTGGACCAACTCTTCTTCGTATTCCTTCGTCCATTCGAACTTCTTCGACTTCTTAAGTGTCGTGAAAAAGAGGTGGCATTTTTCCGCGGACTTAGAGATGAATCGGCTCAAGGCAGCTATCATTCTTACGAGGCATTGAACGTCTTTTATGCCGGTTGGGGAGGGGGTTTGTAACACTGCCTTGATTTGATCTGGATTGGCTTCGATGCCACGCTGCGTCACCATATATCCGAGGAACTTACCTGAGGATACGCCGAATGAGCATTTGGTCGGGTTTAGCTTTATGTTGTATTTTCGCAATACCTTAAAGGCTTGCCTAAGGTGCTCGAGGTGTTGTTCGGCGATCAGTGACTTTACCAACATGTCATCAATGTAGACCTCCATGAAGTCTCCAAGCAAATTGGAGAACATTTTGTTCACTAGTCGCTGGTAGGTGGCCTCGACGTTCTTCAGGCCAAACGACATCACTTTGTAGCAATATATGTCTCGCTCTGTGACGAAGGCGATCTTTTCCTAGTCCTCTGAGTGCATTAGTATCTGGTTGTATCCGGAGAAAACGTCCATGAAGTTGAGTTGTTCGTGTCTAGCGGTGACATCCATTAGCATATCAATGTGGAGGAATGGGAAAGAGTCTTTTGGGCAGGCTTTGTTCAGGTCGGTGAAGTCGATGCAAACTCTCCATTTTCCATTCTTCTTTTTCACTACCGCCACGTTTGCCAGCCAGTCTGGGTATTGAACCTCTCGAACCGAGCCATTCCCGAGCAATTTCTCCACCTCTTCGTTGATCACCTTGCTTCTCTCTAGGGCGAATCTTCTTCTCTTCTGCCTTACGGGAGGGACGCCCGGGTCAGCATTTAGTCTATGCATGATGGCCTCGGGATCGATCCCGATCATATCGAAGTGAGACCAAGCAAAGCAATCTTGATTCTTCTCCAAGAAGTCGATCAACTTTCTGCGGATGTCAGGTGAGAGCCGAGAGCCTATTTGTATCTTTCGGTATGGGAACTCTAGGTGTATATGGACCTCATCTAACTCCTCCATTCTCTGTTGATCCAGTTTTGTCTGTCCGACTGGAGGTGTCTGTAGTTGCTACAAGGCGCCACGGTTCAATTTGAAGGCGTTTTGATAACAATCTATGGAAGCTTTCTGGTCTCCTTTTATCTCTTTGATACCCCATTTGATTGGGAATCTGATTGTCTAGTAAAAGGTTGATGGTACGGCACGCATGCTATGAATCCATGGCCGACAGAGGATCACGTCGTAGGGAGAAGAGGCATCCAGTATCATGAAAGTTGTTTGTTAGTTAATCCCTTTGGCATAGATTGGTAGGGCAATTTCTCCCAAGGTGTATTTTTGTTTTGAATTGAATCCCACGAGAAGCGTTGGACGGCAGTTCATGATTGATTCCTCCAGCCCCATCACCTTGAATGCTTCGAGGAACATGATATTAGCGGAGGAGCTAGGATCTATCAGTATTCTTTTGACAATGATGTTGGCGATCTGGAAAGTAACCACGAGCGTGTCGTGATGGGGGTTCAGTAATGTTGCCACTCGTTATCCACAAATTCAATTGTTAGGTTGGTAGCTCTTTGTTGTGGCGGTCTAGAGTGTTAGAGCTGTGGTGGTTGCAGCTCGGCATGGCGCTTCGCTGCGGAGTAGCTGACCCCACTAACCTCTAATCCGCTTGAAATGACCTCGCACATTGCATCTGCTGGGGGGCCTTTTGATGGCAGAGAAACTTGGTGCTCTCTGTTGGTCACGGTGTTTTTTCCCTTGTCCGTTAGGAACTCGCGGAGGTATCCTCTCTTCAACAGCTCAGTGACTTCGAGGCGAAGTGCAATACAGTCGACGGTGTTATGGCCGTGATCTCCATGAAATTCGCACCACTCATTGGTGTCCCATTTTGCTCCAGGGTGTTTCAACTTGGCTGGCCATCTGACCACGTTTCCCATTTCCTTCATCACCGCTACCACTTCAGGTGGCTCAATATTGAGATTGTAATAGCTTATACTTGAGTTGTGTGTGGGACTCGCCGCGCCTGTCCAAGCCGGATGATGGTCCAACTGGCGCCTGTTGTCTCAAACGAAAAATCCTCTCATTGGGTAAGGCTCTGCTGGTCTCCTGTCTCTTCGTTTATCGAGGCGTTGAGTGCGGCAATCCTCGTGGGCGCTCTATCGGGCTCGATGAACCTCATCTTCCTCCCACCTTATCTCAACCGAAGCACGAGCCAACACATCCTCCATGGTGCCGCAGTTGAACTTTGTGAGTTCTTTGTACAACTCCCCATCTGGTAGCAGGCCTTTCTTGAACTCGTCGATCGTAGTTTCTTGGTTGCAATTAGACCTGGCAAAACGGGTGGGTGGGCTGGGTCAAACGGGTACGGGTCCTTATACGGGTCCAAAATATTGGACCCGTGCCCTACCCTATACGGGTATGGGTGGACCCGTTTTTTCTCTCTCCAGATTTTAGTTTTTCTTTCACCCCAATAGTTTTTAATTATGACAGTTACACCCCCAAAATTCCTAAAGTTTTAATTTTTTACATTTACACCCCTAAATCAACTACTCTAAATTTAATGCAATTTAGAATATAAACAAATAGGAACCAAAAGAAACAAATAACACATAAACAAACAATAACATATAATACAAAACTACAAATACCAACCAAAATAAACAAATATAAAACCACTAATCACACAATTACACATAAACAAACAAAATAAGTTAATAAACTATAAATATCAACTAAAATAAACAAATACATAATCCAATATTCAACAAAAAAACATTCTTAGGACAGCAAATGTTCATCCCACAGTGGGCATGATAGAGTCTCTTGATTCTACAGTCTCGAGATTAGTTAATGGCATATCAAGATCATCATCCGAATCATCATCCGAATCATCATTCACCTCATCATCTACAAAACAATGATCAACTACAAATATTAATAAATGTAAATAATAAAATATATGAAATATTATGTTAACATGTTACCATAATATTTCATATATTATGGTATTATTTAATTAATGGAGTTTAGGTGTCGGTGGTTTGCATACAAGCCGAGATAGAATTTTCCCCAACATTCACAAATATACACACTACGTACAAACAATATTGCATGTTCAATTTCTCTTGTATGCATGCTAATTCACCACATAAAAAATGAAGAAATATTATACAATATTCCACAACATATATGCCCAAGCCAGTTCAACTAACCTTCAATTACAAGATGTTAAAATATTCCCTCAATTTGTCCCAAGATGTTAAAAAAAAAAACATTCAATTACAATAAGTTGCAGTCCATAAGGTTCAGTGATTTCACTTCAGAGAACATCCTCCAACACAATGATATCAATATCCAAGAAATCCAAAAACTAAGCATAAAGCAGCTCCAACTTACTATTGCATGTAGAAACAAG